GGAAGGAAGGAAGGAAGGAAGGAAGGAAGGAAGGAAGGAAGGAAGGAAGGAAGGGAGAGAGAGAGAGAGAGAGAGAGAGAGAGAGAGAGAGAGAAATCAGAACAAACCCCTTATTTATAGATTTGCATTTTTTTTTTAAAGGCCAAAACCAGAAGGTGCAACAGGTTAACTTTTGTTGAGCTGGGCTGTGAGGATAAGGCACCTCCTGTGGTTGGTTCTGGCCCGGTGCAATGAGCCACCCGTGATGGCTCTTACAAGGGTGCTATATGAGGTGTGCATGCAGCACGCTGTCCCAGCTGCCTCACACTGCTGTACCAAAGCATTTCAGAGCCATTTCATGGCAGGTAAACTCTTTTCAGGGATCATTTCCCAGCAGAAACTTGTATCAATAGGAAAATGCACTGAGGTGGTAAGGCAAAGGTGAGGTGAGTGGCAGAGACATTATAACCGTCGTAAAGGCTCTGAATAATCATCACAGAGCTCCATTTATTTCTCCCTGTATGTGACAAGGGGGATATAAAATGGGATTTACAGCACACGAAGCTCTCAGAATTGAAGAGCTGCCTTGTCTTGCAGCCCCAATGCTCTACTTGGTGGGAGCAGACCTTCCTCCTCCTCCTCCTCCTCCTCCTCACTCTTCCTCCTCTTGAGGAGGAAGCTTGGTGAGGTAGCTTTGGAGGAACCACCTCCAATGTGACCAGCAATCCAACTTTAGAAGAAGAAGCATGTGTGAGAGGTGGAAAATAGACACAGTGTTTTGCAGTGAGATCTTGTAGAAAGTACATCCACAGCATCAGCCTGCAGCTGTAAGGACATATGAAAAGGGAGCAGTGCTGCTCAATGACATAACACTGCTTCCACAGCCACCTCTAGCCAGGACCACACCTTCAGTGTTCCCCAAAGCACTTTGCCCCCTCCTTGGTGGTGGGGTGACCATCCCTGGAGGTGTTGCATAGCCATGGAGATGTGGCACTGAGGGACGTGGTGGGGATGGGCTGGGATTGGGCATGGTGATCTTAGTGGTCTTTGCCAACTTAATGCTTCTATGATTCTACAATACAGATTCATTTTAATCAGATGTCGTGTCAGATTCAGTGCAACACATTGGCTAAAAGCTGGGGGACTCCCAGGTCTGTAGCTGAACACAGAGCCCCTTTCTTGCTCTATATCACCCAAGCAACCCTCAGAACAGACAGACTTGCTGATTTTCCCTAAAATACACTCAGGGATTTAACCTGTATCACTTTGCCCAGTCCTGAGGAATGGGGCCAGGATCTGGCTGGGCCATGAAGCAGTGGCAGTGCAGGGGAATCCCTGCATCTCCTGCCTTCCAAACATCACCCAGCCTTGCCTTCCCATCAGTGGGGGATGCCCCCAAAAATTGGGCACTGACATTGCAGAGCGAATCTCCCTGTTAGCTGGGGGCTGTGGGTCAGAAATTTGGATACACTGTGAGAGAGGCGAAGTAAGACGAAACGTTAAGACAATTTGTAAAGGCTGTACACAACAATGCTCCTGCTATTAATTCAAAGACATCAATAGCTGAGTGCTTTCAGGGCAGTATCTATTCTGTTTTCCATTTATATGCTAGAATTGTGGTAGATGTCAGGAGGATTTAATACACATGATGTAGGCATATGAACGAGCTAGATCCTTTTCTGGGAACAAGTATTCATAAGAGTCTCCATGTGGTTCCACATCTACAAAGATGTGGGTATTTATTTCATGAGATCTGGACTCCATTTCAGGCAAGAAAAATCCCGCTAAAGCTGATGGGGAATCTCTCTGTTCACGTCAACAGATCTCAGAGCCCCAGTTCAGGAATGCACTTAAAACACATGCTCAGCTTTAAAGCCAGTCTTAAGTCACACCAAAGGCCATTAGATGTAAGAGCACGCTTGTGCTGAAAGATGAGGAATTTAAACGAGCGTTTATGTG